CATAGGGCAAAAAAAGAAAAAAAAAGGACATTATATAATTTTTATAATTAGAGATATATATTTACACATAGCTTGGGGCTGAATTTGAAATATTTGAGCTGTACTTCGATAGGGAACATTCTCCCAAAATTTCAGCTTTCTAGCTTTCCTGGTACCCGAGTTAGCAATACCCCCTAAAACTTTCACACGCTCTTACGTGAGTACCATGCACAACTGGGGGCTGAGTTTGAAATATTTAGCTAGTACTTGCATAGGGAATATCCCTGCAAAGTTTCAGCTCCTTAGCTCGTGTGGTTCTCGAGATAGCTTTCCCGCCAAAAAATTTGCATATTTTTTTAAAGCGTCCGTACGCGCACCCAGGCGTCCGCGGAGATCGCTTTCCCGCCAAAAAATTTGCATATTTTTTTAAAACTTCCGTACTCGGCACCGAGGCTTTCAAGAGAGTTCCCGCCAAGAAATTTGCATATTTTTTTAAGGCTTCCGTACGCGGCACCTAGGCTTCCAAGGATGGATGAAATTAAAACGGGAGGGTCGCGCATGGTATAGGCACATATCCTCAAAGTTTCAGCCTTCTATCTCTTCTGGTTCTCGAGTTTAAAGTGGGTGACAAAAAGTGCGAACACACAGACACACAAACACACACAGAGATAGCCTCTTCCCAATATGCGTTTTTGCAATTTACATATATGCAAAAACGCATAAAAACAAGCTCCACGCGAGTGCATGATCAGAATCTGCGCTCCTAAAATTTCAGTAATCTAACAGGTCCCGTAGCAGAGATGAAAATGATGATATCCCGAAAAATACACACTCAAGCTTTGGCTAACATGCGTTTTCGCATTTGCACAGATAAAGAAATTTAAAAGAAAATGCAGATTTCCTTGAAAAATAAGAAATTTAACAAATGTATTCCAGTGCGATATGCTAAACGAAGCACTGGATATATGTATCAAACTGAATCAATGGGAATATGCTGTTCAGCTGTCAAAAACACACAATCTTCGTGATGTTGATCCGCTACTTAGTCGGTATGCGGAAGAACTAACCGGTCAGTTTTATGCATTTATCTTCTCTTCAGACCAAGCAGCTGCCAGCTGTTCAATTTATTTTTCGTG